ATGGACATGAAAAAGATGTATTTGACGCGATTCGGAGATGACACACTTGCTAAGAAGGGGACAACGATTTTGCAATGCATGGACCGGCCGATGTCTTTCCACACAATGAAGGCCTTAATCAAGAGGGAATTCCAGACCTCAAGGTTCAACGAACTCAAAGCTCAAACAAAGGAGAAACAGTGGACAGTGGCACTCTCCGACATACCCGACTGGCCAAGAATCGAAGCCGTTGCTGAGTTTAGACTACGTACCAGACACGATTACTTGGCGTAACACCTTCACAGATTGGGAGTTTACCCTCAACCCACATGCCCTCTATGTAACCTAAGGAGGAAATGGAGAAGACCCACCTGATTCGGTGTCCAGCTCTAAAGACAAGGACGGAAAGCCAAAGATACTGGGAGGCAAGAAGACTGCTAATGAACTGCTATCAATTAACTGCTATAAATGTACCCCTTCCCTCTTGGGGGAAGCTGAAGTCAAAGATTAAGGGGTAATGATAAATATCATAAAGCCTGCCATTTGAAATAAATAAATAAATATTTCCGCTGATCAACTATTTTTTTCCCACAACATGTTTGTGTAATTCATAGGAAATTTTAAGAACGCCATGCCAAAATAACAACAAAATTTTGTCAGCCTCATAGCTACTGCTTGAGTTCGCTGGGAGCTGGGAAAAATTTAAAGAGAATACGGTTTATTGTGCTAGTCGTTCTCTTGTACCACCAATGACATCAGTGCTATTTGAATTTTTAAATCAACTTCTTGGCAATCAATGTACTTTGCAAAAGTGCTCTGATTGAGCACTCAGCTTCTGGTGAAATGGAGCAAATTCCCTCACCTTCTTAACGTGGACAAGGAATATTTCCCCATAAACCCATAACGCGCAGAGTCTACTTCGTGACAGACGGAAGCCGAGAACACCCAGAAGATAGTACAGCTCATAATCCATTACCACAGGTGTTGTCAATTTACGTAATTGCTCTCGATAATAAGCAGGAAAAGATATTACGCACTAGAAATTTCCTCATGAAGTTTCTTTTTCCTGAAGGGCGTATTCTTTCATTATTATGAAATTGACAATCTTTCAAACCCGCCCCCCGCCACCCCCGAGAGCAGAACGAATTCTACCCAAGGACTAGTGATGAAATTGAAGGCTTAAAATTAAGATGACGCGAATTCATTTTAATGTCCCACGTTTGGTGTCAATAAACACGCCCCTGCTTCACAAGACTCAGCTCCATTGATCCCCCACATAAAGCACACCAGATGCATATTTCATTCGCCCTACCTGCACTTGTGCCAGGATACAAGGCAACTAGCTTTAAAGTTGTAAAGTGTCTCAAATATATTCTTAGTGGCATTCGTACACATCTCGGGGAACATTAAATTGATCGAATTTCTCAGAAGGTATTTCATTTGCATTGTTTAGTGCAACATAAATTGACTCGAGTACATTTCCGAGCATGAAACCTATTTCTGTAAATCATGTTGCCACAACTTAAAAATGCAGTTTAAAAGCAATTGTTAAAAGAAGTGCTTTAGATACGAAGATCGGGTGAAACTGTCTCAGAGGGGATATATTTTTGCAATTCCACGATGAAAGGAGTAACGGAATAAGTGATATGGACATGAAAAACACTGAAGCAGCTGATGTCGTTGAAGGGGGTCCTGATTCACCTGAATAACCGTTATTCGTTATTTCATTATTCGCTGAACTTATAGAAGCTTGGTCTGTACTTCCTGAATAGTTTGCATTTGCAACTCCAATGGCAGCAGGTAAAAATGGGATCAGTAATTGGATTGAGGTTTAATGATCAGGTGATTCGAGTAACAAAAGGTGGGAAACGATAAAAATTATTAAATTTTCAAGTATGCACATATATCTATGAATTCGATTTTTTCTCAATGTGGGGGCTAACTCTGTGGGTTGCGTAGGATTAAACGAAATTATTTCCATAAGGTGAGCATTTAAAATTAATTGTAGAATTTCTTCAGAAAATTTAAATATGAAGGCGTTTTTGGAATTCCTTTAAAGTTGCATGTCTTCAAAATCTTTCCGAGAGGAATAGCTGAAAGACATGAAGAATATTTTAAATTCCCACGAAATAATGGGATGTTCTGCTTGAGAATGACTGTCGCTCGAATTTAATCTATAATTTTGAATATAGGAACATTATTCCTACCTTATTCAATTTTTAATGGAATAAAACTCTATTTCAAAATCTTGATCTGAAGGGAGACAACTGTTTAATTTTCTCAGGAAACAAAGTTATTTCGAAAAAATTTCTTTCTTAAAAATAATTGTAGCATGAATTAAGCAAGAATTTCTTGATTCCAAGCGAATCAATGAAATAATATGACATGCTCAGACTTATAGACTTTCTTACCTCGAAATACTATATGTACAGTTAAATATTAATTTATACAAATGACAGGCTTTATGATAGTTATCGTTAGCCCTTTAGATGACCTCGGGCTTCACAGAGGGGAGGAGTGTCGAAGTCACAAAATATCGAGGAAGGTGGAGGAGGGGGGGGGGGAGGACGGTGAACAGAAAAGTGAGTTACAGGTAGACACAAGGTTAAAGAAAAAGGTGAGATGCGGTGAGTACTGCGGAAGTGTTGCAATACGATATGCATTCAGTTCATGGTAGTTTTCAGTCAGAAGTCAACTGCCGATTTAGAGACTGTTACGCCATATGAGTATACGTAGCCCAGGATGCTCAACGTGGAGGTAATTCTGTCACACACTCCACAGTTGAATACCTTGCATAAATAAAAAGTACATTTTCACCAATTGTTAAAAGATTGGTTCAAGGAGAAATTAAGCAAAACGACGGCATGATTGAGAATAAAATAATAATTACAAAGCAAAACGCGCTTACACCGACAATCGTCTGTGACATTAGATATTTTAACGCATCACAAATTCAAGACATTTTACTCATACGCCTTCATGTATAGTTACGTAGAATGCTGATATAAACGCAAAATAACGAGACTTTATATTAATCTGTGGTTATGAAGTCCTTTATGCCTTCAAGTCGTTGGGGATTTGCTCTTATGCGCAATCGTATTAACGAAACTAAACTATTCTGACCTTGTGCATACACACACGAGTTCGTTACAGGCTCGCGTCCACGTCCCACGGCCACAGCGGAAAGCTTTCATTGGATAAAACTAAAACCCCTGTAGAGGGGGAGTGGATTGGAGACAAATTAGTATTAACTGAGATCCTCTTTTAGTACAAGTGAATAATAATGATTATATCATTGATCAGGGCTCCCATATGGTCAGCCTACACAAATGTTTCAAGCTAAATCATGCTCTCATTATCCCTCCACTCATACCTTGCTCTCAAAGTCTTCCAAGAGAGTTGGCCTTCTCTCATGGACTGTCAAACCCTCCTGCAACCATCGTACTTTCCAAAAATTAAATTTATGAAATAAAATATTATAATGTCTAGTGTAGGAATTGATTTTGTAGAACTGTTAAATTTTGTTCATTCATCCTACACTTCCTAACGCTTCAACTGCCAAAATTTGTTGAGTATCAAACAATCGCGATGGTTTGTTTCTTACTTATTCCATGAGAGCCCTGTATGGCACTTACCAATTAAGGATTGCTTTTTAACTGGTGGAACATTCTAACCATGTAACATTCATTGTCTTTTGCATGTTCAATTGGCAGTCAGTAGACTCAGTTTGGATGCTGCAAGAGGAAAGGATATTCGCCACATTAATTGAGATAAAATCGACATATTTCAACCTCAACTGGACATTTGATCATCTTACATCTAGCAAGCTGATAAGAAAAGCAGAATTGACTTCTCTGACCAACGAAAGAATAACCATGAATAGCGAATTTTGTGAAGCTGAAAATCGCCCCATTTTACTAAAAATATTAATAATTAAATCTCATTATGTAATATCTCAAGCAGGGAGTTGATGGAAATGACCTTGCTCTTTTATCCCAATGGTCTTCTTTTTCTGCTGTTGAAGTGTTCCAGAGCTGTCCATGTGGTATTATTAAGAAAGGTAAAATATTTTGGCACTCATAAGACACTGATATAACAGATATTATTAAAAGTTCAACATTTCCATTAGTTGCTAAATATTCAAGGCATTTTAGGAGATTCTTGATAATATTAAGTTTGAATCCCGATATGGCCTCGAGGAGAGAATTGGGAACGTTTCCAACCATTCACTATTTGTATCATTGTTTATGAATATGTCATTGGAATTGAGTTGGGCATTGATTCATCAAAATTGAAGCCATAGCAGCTGAGCCTAACCAATATATGTTTGGTTGGTAGCTGGTACTAATGCAAATAATTAAGATCATTATGAAAATAGAAATGGTCAATATTTCAAATAAATTATTAATTCTTAATAGATTGAGAAATCCATTTCCATGAACGCAACATTAATTGGAGCCCACTGCAGTTTTACAAAGTAAATATCATTTTAGTCAACACTTTGAGCTTAACCTCTTAATCAGCTTTAATTACTAGCCCGAGAGATAACAGTAACACTGATGTGGAATATTTGTCGACAATTATTTCACTTAAGCATTAATAAGCATAAAATCAAGTTGTAGTCAGATATTAAGGAATTGGTGTAGAATAAAAACCTCTTAACTAATTTTATATTGACTAAATCGCGAACTCCTTGGTAAATTCAATTTCTATGACTAAATAAATGTCCCGTAGAGCAATGAAATAAACGAGACTTTCATTATGACAAGCATTTATTAGAAAAAATCAGTTTAAATTAAGGGTAATTTTAACAAAACTTAACGAATTAGAAATTAGAAATAATGAAGGTAGACAAGAAATGGTAGAATAAGTATTTTTGACACGAAAAATATTGAACCAGCAGAGGTCGTTGTTGGTTTTAAAGCTTCAGGGTTTGAAACTGTAGCAGTAGAACTTGAGCCTTGATTTCCCACAGTAGACTTCTTTGTTGTTGAAGTTCCAGGGACTGTAACAGTAGTAGTTGAACTTGAGTCTTGATTGCCTGCAGTAGTGTTCCCAGTTGTTGAAGGTTCAGTGACTACAGTTGTAGTAGTGGAATTTGAGTCTTGATTGCCTGCAGTAGTGTTCCCAGTTGTTGAAGGTTCAGTGACTACAGTTGTAGTAGTGGAATTTGAGTCTTGATTGCCTGCAGTAGTGTTCCCAGTTGTTGAAGGTTCAGTGACTACAGTTGTAGTAGTGGAATTTGAGTCTTGATTGCCTGCAGTAGTGTTCCCAGTTGTTGAAGGTTCAGTGACTGCAGTTGTAGTAGTGGAATTTGAGTCTTGATTGCCTGCAGTAGTGTTCCCAGTTGTTGAAGGTTCAGTGACTACAGTTGTAGTAGTGGAATTTGAGTCTTGATTGCCTGCAGTAGTGTTCCCAGTTGTTGAAGGTTCAGTGACTACAGTTGTAGTAGTGGAATTTGAGTCTTGATTGCCTGCAGTAGTGTTCCCAGTTGTTGAAGGTTCAGTGACTACAGTTGTAGTAGTGGAATTTGAGTCTTGATTGCCTGCAGTAGTGTTCCCAGTTGTTGAAGGTTCAGTGACTACAGTTGTAGTAGTGGAATTTGAGTCTTGATTGCCTGCAGTAGTGTTCCCAGTTGTTGAAGGTTCAGTGACTACAGTTGTAGTAGTGGAATTTGAGTCTTGATTGCCTGCAGTAGTGTTCCCAGTTGTTGAAGGTTCAGTGACTACAGTTGTAGNCAAAATATTTTACCTTTCTTAATAATACCACATGGACAGGTCTGGAACAGTTCAACGGCAGAAAATGAAGACCATTGGGATAAAAGAGCAAGGTCATTTCCATCAACTCCCTGCTTGAAATATTACACAATGAGATTTAATTATTAATATTTTTAGTAAAATGGGACGATTTTCAGCTTCACAAAATTCGCTATTCATGGTCATTCTTTTGTTGGTCAGAGAAGTCAATTCTGCTTTTCTTATCAGCTTGCTAGATATAAGATGATCGATTGTCCAGCCGAGGTTGAAATATGTCGATTTTATCTATCGATAAACAAACTCAATTAATGTGGCGAATATCCTTTCGTCTTGCAGCATCCAAACTGAGTCTACTGACTGCCAATTGAACATGCAAAAGACAATGAATGTTACATGGTCAGAATGTTCTATCAGTTAAAAAGCAATCCTTAATTGGTACGTGCAAAACAGGGTTGTCACGGAATAAGTATGAAAAAAACCATCGCGTTTGTTCAATACTCAACAATTTCTGGTAGTTGATGCGTTAGGAAGTGTAGGATGAATGAACAAAATTTAACAGTTCTACAAAATCAATTCCTACACTAGACATTGCAATATATTATTTCATAGAAGTTTGCCACCAATGCGCAATAATCGAGGCATTGAGCCTCAGTTGTAGTCTAATATGTTGTAATCTTTCTAAAAAGTGATCTGGCAGGTCAGGGTAACGAAGCTTCAGGATCTTCGAATACACAATCTACCCCCAGAATTCGACATAAACTCAGTAAGTGCAGCGTCTTCAATTCTATCTGGTGAGGTCCGGTTCATCAACTTCCATGACCTCATTCAATTTAATAGTTTTCATATCAAAATTAGTTGGTCAAACATTTGCTGTCTATTTGACATTTAGTAATTTCTTTTGCCATTTTGAAATAAATGCTCGTTGAATATTCCCTTGCATTCTATTAAAAATCTTCGGAATAATGCATTTTAATTGGATCCAGTGAAAAAGAATTTAAACCAAAGTGGCAGAAATTTTGAGTAAACCACTGTGTGGTATATACGCTGAACCATATCCAAATTTATTCCGGTTACTGTCTGCGTATTAGTTTGAATATTGTATTGTACCTTGCATAGTTGTTGGAGATAATTTCCTCATCAAGCCAGTTCTATTTTCTAACAAGGGCTCAATGGGTCATATTCCTTTGAGATATCAGGATGCTAGAGCTGCAATGACAAATAAACTCAAATAGAGGCTCATCTCTTACTTATCCCACTTAAACTCGCTTATTTTACATATGCTATGGCATCAGTACTTCACTGGAACTTCACTAGTCTTAAGATATTTCTGCAATGAGCTACAATTTTTAAACCAGCTGCTGCAAATGGTTTTGGGTTTAATTATTGATTGGAAGTATTCTCTAAATTCTCGAATTTGGTCTTATTGCACTAGCATGATTTGATATTCACTTAAATTCGTTAAAAAGGCGTTTATATTTTTAAACTATGTAAAATTCCCATGTGCGAACAATTTACAGTATTAAATTTAGGGGAGAAAATGTGTCTATCATATTCAATTTCAAATACAGGTCTTTCCCATGAAAATACAGCATCGTTATTGATATCCGTTACTCCGACATATTTAAGTGAACATATATAGTTTTACTCAATTTCATTATTCTTTCAGTTAAATTTAATTTTTGGAAAGTAAGAAAGTTGCAGGAGGGATTTACAGTCCATGAGAGAAGGCCAACTCTCTTGGAAGACTATGAGAGCAAGGTATGAGTGGATCGATAATGATAGCATGATTTAGCCTGAAACATTTGTATAGACTGACCATATGGGAGCCCTGAACAATGATATAATCATTATTATTCACTTGTACTAAAAGAGGATCTCAGTTAATACTAAGTTGTCTCCAATTCACTCCCCCTCTATAAGGGTTTTACTTTTATCCAATGAAAGCTTTCCGCTGTGGCCGTGGGACGTGGACGCGAGCCTGTAACGAGCTCGTGTGTGTATGCACAAGGTCACACTAACGTCTGCGTAATGCACCATAGACAATATATACTCATGTTGTAAAAATTCTATAAACCAAGAGCTGACTTATGACTTCGAACTGGCATGACCCCACTGTGTGTCATATTCGACCACTTCCACAGTGTTCACACCCACCTTTATCTCCACCTTTGTGCCAGTCTCTTATATCAGTTGATTGCTCTTCTCTTCCCCCTCTTCACTTTTTGACTTTGTCTGTTCCTCCTCTCTGTAATGCCTGAGGCCTACTAAAGGTCAAATTGTAATTATCATAAATCCTGCCATTTGATGCAATTAAATATTAGATGTGAGTTTGACTACTAAGAAAACTTTGAGATTTAATTTAATGAACAATTAGCTAAGCTGATCTTTAACTTTATTACCAAAAGATCTCATGAATCTGATTGCGTTTTAATTATATTTACAAATGTTTAAAGTTATGACAATACTCTTACCAAAAATGTCTTTCTACTGAAAATGATTCAGTAGAATGATTTGAAATAATGACAATGAATTTTAGTTGACAGTATTAAATTATCCATTGAAAGTTGCAATTGAACACAGGGTCATTGTCATTACATCTTCAGATGTTTCGAATTATAACCCAAACAACTATCTTTGTTTATTTAAAATTGCCATGTCATCAAACTGAAGAACAAAGTTGAGAGAATTCTAATGTTAGGAAATATGAATAAAATGAAGCTAATCATGTTAGCGTGTAAAGATTGAGTAACTTGGCTGGTAATTTTAAAGTGAAATTGATTTGTACAGATTTGGCCTTTAACCGAGAACCTCCCAAATCAGACACATGAATATCGATCAATAGCTTTAAAGAGTTCGCCACTCACCTCAAACATTTCCCAAATGCTCGACTCTTTTCTTTCTAGGGGAAGGGAGGAGGTGATTTATGCGTTAACATTTTATAAAATGCAGATGAATCATTCTGCTGTAGTTTCAACCCCACAGCTACAATTGCCTGTACAGAAGTGTGT